TGCTGTTCTCAAACATTAATGCACACCAGAGTCACCAGAAAGGCTTGTTAAAAAACAGATTGCCAGGTCAGGTGCAGTGGCTTACGCCTGTAATCCCAGGACTTCGGGAGGCCAAGGCTGGCGGATCACCTGAGGTCAGGAGTTCAAGACCAGCCTGGCCAACATGGCGAAACCCCACCTCTACTAAAACTATAAAAATTAGCTGGGCATGATGGCGGGTGCCTGTAAATCCCGCCTACTCATGAGGCTGAGGTGGGAGAATCGTTTGTTTGAACCCAGGAGGTGAAGGTAGCAGTGAGCCGAGATTGCGCCACTGCACTCCATCCTGGGCAACAGAGACTGTCTCAACAACAACAAAAGAAACAGAAGCTGAGGGACGACGCGGGTGGTGACCCAGTGTTCGGATACAGAACTGTGTGGCTCAGGACAGGGTTTCAAAGGGAGCCCTCTGGGGCTTTGTGGGGGATAGACTGGAAGGGAGAGACTAGAGGTCAGGGAGGCCCTAGAGTCAGGTTCCAGGTAGGAGAGCAGGAGCCCTGAGCCTGGCCTAGCCCTGAGGACAGAGAAGAGGGGCGCAAGGGAGACTCAGGAGGCAGAAGGGACCTGGCTTAGAAACCAATGAGCTGTTGTGGAAGAGGGGACTAGAAGGGGCTTTGGCCCAGTTGTGGGGGGGGAACCCCACAAGTGCCGTGGCAAGGGTCTGAAGCCTCAGCCTGCTCCCATATAAATATTGATTAAGAATTAGAAATATAAGGCCGGGTGCGGTGGCTCAAGCCTGTAATCCCAGCACTTTGGGAGGCCGAGGCGGGTGGATCACAAGGTCGAGAGATCGAGACCAACCTGGTCAACATGGTGAAACCCCGTCTCTACTAAAAATACGAAAAATTAGCTGGGCATGGTGGCGCGTGCCTATAATCCCAGCTACTCAGGAGGCTGAGGCAGGAGAATTGCCTGAACCCAGGAGGCGGAGGTTGCGGTGAGCCGAGATCGCGCCATTGCACTCCAGCCTGGGTAACAAGAGCGAAACTCCATCTCAAAAAAAAAAAAAAAAAAAAAGAATTAGAAATATAAGCACATAGTTATTCCTTTATATAATCGTATGTAATCTTATAGTTACTTATCATAAAGATATATACTTAATATAACCTTTAATTTTACAAATGACTATCAGGTTATGAAGCATGGAACTGAGGTGACATTGTGAACAAAGTGACCCTAAGGCAAGATGCTCTAAGTCCTCTGTCACGCCCACATAAGGGCTGCTGGAGGGCGCCTCGGCTGTGCGGAAGCCCCAGCGCTGGGAAAGTGCTGGCTGTTTAGCCAGTTAGGGAAGGAGACATCCAAAATGGCTGAGACGTCTCCTTCCTGGGGAAGTTAGGAGAAAACTCCACTCCCCCAAGCTCTTGTGGCAAGGCCTGACGCCTGTCAGGGGGCCCTGCCGACATCCGGGGGCTTAACTGTGTCTATGTAACGCTGTGCTTCAGTGGGCACGTTCCACGTCTGCTCTCACGCTCCGCTTCTGCACCTGGTTTCTTTTTCTTAGAAGATAAGAATTAATAATAGTAACATAATCTTAATGTCCTTGATGTATCTGACAAATATGCAAAAAGTGCTGACACATTAGGTTTTCTCCTTGTCTCAGCTACTTAAAAGTCCTGGGCCCCTACCTTCAAGACATGTGATTAATCTGACCCTACCACTGACCACCATGACCTCATCCTACCTTCCCTGCCCCCTGCTTCGTACTCAATAACAGTCAGAGCGTCCAGGCACTCGGGGTCACTACTGGACTTCGTGCTCTGGTTGGCAGTGGATCCCCGGGCCCAAACTCTCTTTTCTCTTTCTTGGTGACTTGTGTCTTTTACGTCCAGTTTCTCGTCTCCACGCCAGCAGGGAGGGACTCACAGGACCCTGCAGGGCTGGACCCTACACCCAGTAACGGGAGAGATGGTGGGGCTGCCTCAGATGATGAAACCAGGTGAGAGAATTTGAGGGGGATCCTGAGCTCTCTGTGGGAGGTGGTAAGGGCGAGGGTCCCAGGGGAACATCCAGGGGACAGCTGGCTGGAGGTCAGGAGACACTTAGAAAAAAGTAGATAAACCAGCCGGGTGCGGTGGCTCAAGCCTATAATCCCAGCACTTTGGGAGGCCGAGGCAGGTGGATCACGAGGTCAAGAGATCGAGAGGAGATCTCTTGACCTCCTCTGGTCAAGCTGGGCATGGTGGCGCGTGCCTGTAATCCCAGCTACTCAGGAGGCTGAGGCAGGAGAATTGCCTGAACCCAGGAGGCGGAGGTTGCGGTGAGCCGAAATTGCTCCATTGCACTCCAGCCTGGGTAACGAGGGCGAAACTCTGCCTCAAAAAAAAGAAAAAGAGCCGGGCGCGGTGGCTCAAGCCTGTAATCCCAGCACTTTGGGAGGCCGAGGCGGGCAGATCACAAGGTCAAGAGATCGAGACCATCCTGGTCAACATGGTGAAACCCCGTCTTTACTAAAAATACAAAAAATTAGCTGGGCATGGTGGTGCGTGCCTGTAATCCCAGCTACTCAGGAGGCTGAGGCAGGAGAATTGCCTGAACCCAGGGGGCGGAGGTTGCGGTGAGCCGAGATCGCGCCATTGCACTCCAGCCTGGGTAACAAGAGCGAAACTCCGTCTCAAAAAAAAAAAAGAAAAAGAAAAGAAAAAGTAGATAAACTGGGCGCGATGGCTCATGCCTGTAATCCCAGCACTTTGGGAAGCCGAGGCAGGTGGATCACGAGGTCAGGAGATTGAGAGCATCCTGGCTAACATGGTGAAATCATGTCTGCACTAAAAATACAAAAAATTAGCCAGGTGTGATGGCACATGCCTATAGTTCCAGCTACTGGGGAGGCTGAGGCAGGAGAATCACTTGAACCTGAGAGGCGGAGGTTGCAGTGAGCCAAGATCGTGTCAGTGCACTCCAGCCTGGGCAACAGAGGGAGACTCCGTCTCAAAAAGATGAAAGAAAAAAGAAAATAAATGAAAAGAAAAAGAAAAAGTAGATCAGAGCTGGGCACCGTGGCTCACGTCTGTAATCCCAGCACTTTGGGAGGCCGAGGTGGGTGGGTCGCTTGAGGTCAGGAGTTCAAGATCAGCCTAGAAACAGTGAAACCCCATCACTACTAAAAATACAAAAAATAGTTGGATGTAGTCTCACATGCCTGTAGTCCCAGCTTTTTGGGAAACTGAGGCAGAAGAATCGCATGAACTCAGGAGGCAGAGGTTGCTGTGAGCCGAGATTGCGCCACTGCACTCAGCCCGAGAGACAGAACAAGACTCCAGCTCAAAAAATCATAAAAGAAAAAGTAGATGAGATCTCTTAGAAGAGAGACGCAGCCGAGTCCCCAGAGAGGCAGATTTCCTAGAGTCTGGGTGGATGAATGGGTAGTGGGAAAACCCCCAAAGTTGGAAATCTGTGAGGGATTTGGGATTTGACAAGAGCGGGGAGCCCATGGGAATGCCAGGGGCAGCTGCAGGGGCCACTGGCTGTGCACCCGCAACCAGGCACTGCAAACCCACATCTGTCAGGGTCCCAGTCTCAGCACCTGCCCCTCTGGGGCCACCGCCCCTTTGGGCCCCACTGCAGAGGCAGGAAGTACTGCCTGATGCTCAGCTTCCGCTGGGGGTGCTGGCACGGCCCAGTGCCCTCCCCACTCCCAGGGACCTTCCCACCTCAAGCCTGTAGCACTTTCACTTCCCCAGGTACTCAGCCCCTGCCCCCAGCAGGTAGGTACTCCCTGGTCTAGAACAGGCTGCAGAATCTGAGAGGCGCAAAGAGAAGTGGGGAAGGGGAGGCAGAGAAAGGAAGATAGGCCAGGCACAGTGGCTCACGCCCATAATCCCAGCATCCTAGGAGGCCACGGCAGGAGGATCGCTTGAGCCCAGAAATTTGAGACCAGCCTGGGCAATACAGTGAGATTCCCTTGTCTACCAAAAACAAAATGAACCAGGCATGGTGGTAGGTAGCTGTAGTCCCAGCTACTGGAGAGTCTGAGACGCAAGGATCGCTTGAGCCTGGGAAGATCGGGACTCCAGAGAGCTATGATCATACCACTGGATTCCAGCCTGGGCAACCCTGTCTCAAAAACAAAAAGAGAAAGAGAGGAAGGGAGAAAGGAGGAAGGGACCCAAAGGAGCCAGAAACACAGAGTGGGGCCAGGCACAGTGGCTCAGCCTGTAATCCCAGCACTTTGGGAGACCAAGGCAGGAGGATCGCTTGAGTCCAGGTGTTCCAGACCAGCCTGGTCAACCTAGTGAGACCCTGTCTCTATTTTTTTAAATTAAATATTAAAAATGAAATAAACACACTCCATGGCAAAACTCCATTTCTACCAAAAAAAATAATAATAATAAAAATTAGCCAGGCATGGTAGTGTGCACCTGTCATCTCAGCTACTCGGAGGCTGAGGTGGGAGGATCACTTGAGCCCAGGCTACCATGAGCTGTTCGCCCAACTGTACTCCAGCCTGGGTGAAAGTGAGACCCTGTCTCAACAAAAAACAAATATATAAATAAAGAAACACAGAGAGAGGGAGGAGAGAGACCCAGAGGAGGGAGAGACTGCTGAGAAAAGGGGACAGAGAAGGGGAGTGGCAGGAGGGTGGGGACAAAGACGCAGAGAGGAGGAACAAGAGACCCAGGGCGGGGAGGGGAGGCACAGCTGCACGCAGAGATGGCAGAGCGTAGCAGGCCATGAGGTCAGAGTGTCTGTGAGGTCGGCTGCAGTCCAGGGTCAGCCCTGGGGTCCCCATGCCCAGAGGAGGATGCCAGTAAATCAGGGATCCCTTTAGACACACCCCACCCCCGGCTGAGCCATGGAGACCTGGGAGGGACTGCCCCGTGAGTCCTTGGTGCCCACAAACTCCAAGCCCCCTCAGGTACCAGGGTGTGTGTCCCAGTGGGGCAGGTGAGGGAGACAGGGACAGAGTCAGAGAAGAGAGCCATCTCCAGTGAAGCGGAGGGGGTGGAGCCCCACCCTGGAACTTCCTCTTTCGGGGTTCTTCCTTTCTCTCAGCTCTCCCTCTCTCTCTCTCTCAGCCTCTGTCTTTCTGCCCATCTCCCCCACTGTCAACACCTCTTCTGTGTGGTGAGCAGACTGCTCACCCCTCCAGGTGAAGATGTCGGCCCAGGAGAGCTGCCTCAGCCTCATCAAGTACTTCCTCTTCGTTTTCAACCTCTTCTTCTTCGTGAGTTGCCTCATGGCCACCCAGCCCGGGCCCAGCCACTGCCGATCACCCGGCCCTCACCTCCCCGCTGGGGCCCACCCCCACAGCCGCATCTCCTCTCCCCAGGTGCTGGGCAGCCTGATCTTCTGCTTCGGCATCTGGATCCTCATCGACAAGAGCAGCTTCGTGTCCTTTGTGGGTGAGGGGGGCTGGGGCAGGCGGGAGGGCCTCCGCCCAACTAAGCAACTTCCTGGGGTGTCCCTGGTCTCAGGGAGACCCATGGTGCCAGACTGCAGGGAGGCCACAGGCTCCCATCCACTGCTCACTGTTGCTTCGCCTCTCGAAGCCTGCGTCTTCTTCTGGCAAATGGGGTTGTGCATACAAACTGATGATCATGAGAGCCATTTCTCAAGCGCTTCCTATCCGTAGGACCCGGGTCGGGTGGCTGGTCAGATGCCCCCACAAACCTTCCCCTCTCTTGAGGTTCAGAGAGGGGAAGTCCCTTGCTGAATGTCACACAGCAAGGAAGTAAAAGAGCAGAAATAACATTAATAACAATAATAGGAAAATAATAATGGAGTAACCGGTCCGGGCGCGGTGGTTCACGCCTGTGATCCCAGCACTGTGGGAGGCTGAGGCAGGCAGATCATGAGGTCAGGAGATCGAGACCATCCTGGCTAACACAGTGAAACCCCATCTCTACTAAAAATACAAAATATTAGCCAGGCACGGTGGTACGTGCCTATAGTCTCAGCTACTCAGGAGGCTGAGGCAGGAGAATCACTTGAACCTGGGAGGCGGAGGTTGCAGTGAGCAGAAATCGCGCCACTGTACTCCAGCCTGAGTATCAGAGTGAGACTCCGTCTCAAAAATAAAATAAAACAAAATGATGGAGTAACCACCTAAACACTAAACGCTCATATTTAAGAAGTTTTTGCCCTGTGTTGAAGAGTGGCTTGAACACATGTTCCCATGTGTCTGTCAAAATGACCCTAGGGACCAGGTGCAGTGGCTAATTTCTGTAATTCCAGCACTTTGGGGGGACTGAGGTAAGTGGATCACTTGAGGTTGGGAGTTTGAGACCAGCCTGGCCACCATAGTGAAACCCCGTCTCTACTAAAATAGCTGGGTGTGGTGGTGAGTGCCTGTTATCCCAGCTACTCGGGAGGCTGAGGCAGGAGAATCACTTGAACCTGGGAGGCAGAGGTTGCAGTGAGCCGAGATCAAGTCACTGCACTCCAGTGAAGGCAACAGAGTGAGACTTCGTCTCAAAAAAAAAAAAAAACAAAAAAAAAAAACAAAAAAAAAAAACCCTGGGAAATCGATACCATTCCCTAGGCCTCAGGGAAGTGTAAGGAACCAAGCCAGTGCCACAGAACAAGGGATAGGGCTGAAACTACTGGAGATGAGGAGGAGCTAAAGGAGGAAGGAGAGGGTGAGAGGAAAAGAGAAAGACAGAGATCCAGAGATGGGAACAGAGGCCCAGAAAGAAGAGAAAGTTTCAGAAGGAGACAGGGACTCAGGGTTGGGCAGTGTCCCAGAGAGAAGGGCACCAGGAAACTGCTCCCCACTTGGGTGGCTGCCTAGGCAGGGGATGGGGCTGCCTGGAGCTGTGCCACCCGGCTCATCATCACCCCCTCGCCTCTCCCAGGCTTGGCCTTCGTGCCCCTGCAGATCTGGTCCAAAGTCCTGGCCATCTCGGGAATCTTCACCATGGGCCTCGCCCTCCTGGGTTGTGTGGGGGCCCTCAAGGAGCTCCGCTGCCTCCTGGGCCTGGTGAGTGCCCCATCCCTCTCCATCCCTAGGACCACCCCATCCCCACCCCCAAAAATTGCCTGGGCCGAGGGGGTGGAGCGGTCAACCTGACCTCTCCCTTCTGTTCCCCAGTATTTCGGGATGCTGCTGCTCCTGTTCGCCACACAGATCACCCTGGGAATCCTCATCTCCACTCAGCGAGCCCAGGTGAGCTTCCTGCAGCCACCACCATCCACCTCCAGTGGGGAGGAGGGGGAAGGGAGTGGTGGGAGGGGGCGGAGAGAGACGGAAACAAAGGTAGACAGTGGCTGACCTAGATAAAAAGAAATAAAAGGCTGGGCCTGGTGCCTCACATTTTTAATCCCAGCACTTTGGGAGGCCAAGGCAGGTGGATCATTTGAGTCCAGGAGTTTGAGACCAGCCTGGGGAAGACAGTGAGACCCTATCTACTAAAAAAAAAATTATCGGAGTGTGGTGGTGCACGCCTGTGGTCCCAGCTACACTTGGGAGGTTGAGGTGGAAGGATCGCTTGAGCCGGGGAGTTCAAGGCTGTGGTGAGCCATGCACTCATCCTGGGTGACAGTGTAAGAACCCTGTCCCAAAAAATAAATTAATAAGAAGAAATCATGAATGAGAGAGAGAGGCAGAGGACAGAGAGACACAAATATAGAGCCTGACAGAGAGGGAGAGACAGAGTCAATGACAAGGCCAGAGAAAGACACACCGACCTGGACCGAGGGAGAGAGGGATAAACAGCTCCAAAGGGAAACACGCAGGAAAAAGAGACAGAACAAGAGAAATAGACGCCCTGAAAGAAGAGCCAGAGACTTAATGAACCGTAGAAATAGTGGGAGAAACAGATCTGAAGTACAGAGCTAGCCATTCCGTGAGGATCTGAGGCCAACCCAGAGATGCACAGGGAGCCCCTGGGGCTGGCACAGCCTGGGAGGGGAGGGGCGGGGCAGAGGGGGTCCAGCCTCACTGGTGGCCTCTCAGCTGGAGCGAAGCGTGCAGGACATCGTAGAGAAAACCATCCAAAACTACCGCACCAACCCCAAGGAGACAGCGGCCGAAGAGAGCTGGGACTACGTGCAGTTCCAGGTGCGCCCCCCTCCTCCAGCTCCCTCCAGGACTAACCCGGCTCAGCCCTGTGCTACCCAGGGACTCCACCCCCACGTGGCCCCGGCCCCCAGCTCTAGGACCCTAACGTACCCCAACCCCTCCTAGGCCCGACATCCCCCACTCCCCAGATGACATAACTGGCCCTGGCGTGGCTCAGTTTCCCAGTACCAAGACCCTGGCGGGGCTTCGCCTTCTACCTCTAAAACTCCGTCCCTGCCCCCGCCCCGACGTAGTTCGGTCCCTAGTCCCGAGACCCGGTTTCCCACTCCACAGACTCTTGGCTTCCACCGGGCCCCGCCCCCGATGAGACTCACATGCCTCGCACTCCCATTCACCTGTGCGGTATCAGAGGCTCAATTACACTGCCCACCCAATCTCTAGTCCACAGCGCGACTCTGCAGCTCCTCCCCCAGCCCCAGGTCACCCTGTGACTCGTGTCTCTCCCAGCCCCATGTTCCCGTAATGTCCCCGGGCCCATCGCGACTCCAGCCCACTGTCCCCTACCGATACCACACTCACCACTTAATACCCTGCTTCCTGACCTGACCTCATACCCATCACCCTGTCCCCTGATCCCCAGCATCCTATGTCTCCAGTCCCGAGGTCCCTCTGACCCGTATCCCTCTCCCAGCTGCGCTGCTGCGGCTGGCACTCCCCGCAGGACTGGTTCCGGGTCCGCACCCTCAGAGGCAACGGGTCGGAGGTGCACCGCGTGCCCTGCTCCTGCTACAACTTGTCGGCGACCAACGACTCTACAATCCTGGATAGTGTGATCTTGCCCCAGCTCAGCATGCTCGGACCGCTGGCGTGGTCCAGACACAGCACAGACATCTGCGCGGTCCCTGCAAACAGCCACATCTACCGCGAGGTGGGTAGGGGTTCCGAGCAGAAACCTGTAGAACGGGGCGGGACCTGCGGGAGGAGAGGGCTGCCGGCGAGGGGCGGGGCCTCAGGAGAGGCGGGGCCACAAGAAAAGGAAAGGTATTGTGGGAGGGGCGGGGCCTGTGCGAAGGGCGGAGCCTAAAGAAAAGGCTGGGCTGGATCTGGAATACAGACGTCCAGGGAGGGGCCTGGCTTGGAAGAGGTGAAGTGAAGGTGCACTAGTAAGGAGACCAGAGAGCCCTGATGCCTGAAGGCGGTGAGGGTTGGGCTGAAAAGAACACTGGGCCTGGGCTTAAACGTCCCAGAAAAAATCCCTTTAACATTTCCCTACACCCCCAGGGCTGCGCGCAGAGCCTACGGAAGTGGCTGCACAACAACCTGATTTCCGTAGTGGGCATCTGCCTGGGCGTCGGCCTACTCGAGGTGATCTGGCCCCGCCCCCACTCGCAATTGGCCCTAAATCCCCAGATGGCTCCTCCCTTTATTTCGCGTCCTCCGGTTGCCTGGGAAAGACGCGCTCGGGGCGGAGCGCAGCCTACCCGGGCCCTCCAGCCGCCCCACCCAGCACGAGAGGTGGAGGAGGCCTAGCTTCAGGGAGCCCTGATTGGCCGTAGGCAGGGAAAACCTCCTGCTATTGGCTGCGATCTCCCACCCCTTTCCTCGCAGATGACTGTCATGGTGCTGAGCTTACAGCTACAGCGCAGGGCACTCCACCGGAAACGCGAGCCGCACGTGCCAGGAGCCCGGGGTTCGAGCCCCGGGCCCAGCCTGATCGCTGACAGCGGCGGCGGCGGGCGCTGTGGCGTGCTCAGCAGCAGCGGGCGCAACGTCAGTCTGTGGAGTGGCTGGGGCATAGCGGGTGCCTGCCCCAACTGGGGGGTCAAGGCCCCACAGGGCAAGCTGCCCATGGCCCTGGGGCCCTGGCCGCTGTGGGTTCAAGACGAGGACCAGCCTGATACCGGGATTGCGGGCGCAGAATTAGAGGCCGAGGCAGAGGGGGAGACAGATGAGCCTCCAGAATAAAGGACCCTGTGCTTGCTTCTGACCTTACTCCTTCCAGCCTCTACCCCCAACCCCGCCTTCCCACCTATTGTAGCGGCGCTTCCCCAACCCCGACTTGTGGCAGCTGTTCCCGCCTCATCAGCCAGCCCTGAAGCAGTTCCCCTCGAGCCCCGCCCATTTATACCTAGCCTCTTCTCCAGCCCCATCCACCCCCGTCTCACCAGCACCCCTTCGACTACTCTGACCCCATCTCCTTTCTCTATAGCTCGGATTCATGACGCTCTCGATATTCCTGTGCAGAAACCTGGACCATGTCTACAACCGGCTCGCCCGATACCGCTAGGCCCGCCCTCCCCAAAGTCCTGCCCCACCCCTGTCACGTGCGCTGGGCCCGTCCCCCGCTGCCTGTAAATATTTGTTTAACCCCCAGTTGGCCTACAGACTCCCCCCACCCCGGCCTTCACATTCCCCTGGGGACCCAGGTGGCCGCCTGACCACGCTGCTGTCACCTCTCCCATGAGACCTGGGGCTTTCATCCACCAGCTTCCTGCCCCCATCTGTCGGCTTACCACCTCCCACAAGATTATTTTTCGCCCAAACCTCGAATAAATCCCCTGCGTTTTTGGTAAAATAGCTTTATCCTCTGTCGGAACACAAACCAAACTTTGAGAGGGGAGGGAGGAAAGAGTAGCTTGTGGCTCACTTAGAAGGAGGGGGGAATGAGATTAGAAAGCTTCACCCCACTGCTTGTGCAGCTGAGATAAAGTCAAGTCCCTAGCACCCCCTTATAAATATCTTGCTATATTAAAAAAAAATACTTTCAGGGCCCACCTGGCTCTGCTCCTGCACAAAAGGGTTAATCTTCACTTTGTGATCTCACAGGTCATGGAGTGGGAGTGGCAGGGAGAGGCAGAAATTTCAGGGGGAGGGGTGGCTGGGAAAAAGTAAAGGGGACAAGCAAATGTGTAACTAGGGCCCTCTAAGACATGCAGAGGAGTGGGGGGGGGGCCCTGCCAGGGGCTGAGAAGCCAGTGCTGTACCTGGGGGTTGTCTCACTCCTGTCCCCAGAATCCCTGATACTCTGGAGTGATCTGTCCTATCAGACACCCACTGTGAGGTCCCAATATCGGGGTTTATCCTTTCCTCAGTCCCAGCCAGTGCAACTCTCCAAGTTTTGGGGACCCCTCTAACAAATAGGGGGCCCTATTAAGGAAGGACCACCCCAGTTGCTTAGGCCTCTGAGGTCAGCCCCTTCACGTCCCAGCCCCCTCCCCAAATAAGAAGCACGAGGTGAGCTGGAGGACATTCCCTGGTAGGAAGGTGTTCTGGGGGTGAGCCAGTTCTGGGTCAGTCCCTGACCAGGCGGTAAATGTGGTGCTGGGCCCCACGCTCACTGGTGGAGACCTCGAAGACATAGGCGGTGCACAGCAGCAGTTCCTGGGTGTCTCTGTTTGTCACCACCTGCCAGGGAGGCCAGGACAAGGGACTTAGGCTTAGAAGAGAGGGGTAGGGACCACTGTGCCCTCCCCCAAGCTATCACGAGACACCAGCAGGCCTCTTTTCCATCTCCAGGAAGCAGGCCCCCGCCATGTTATGTTCCCCAAGAGAAAGGGATGCCCCAACAAGTCAGGTGCCCTAGGCAATGGGGGTTACCCTCAGCTGAGGGTTGGCAGTGATGATGTATCACATCTCAGGGTTAATCGGGTTCCCATCACATCACACTCGCCAGGTAAAAGGGGTCCCCATCATGTCACAGGTAAAGAGACAACCCTCCTTTCAGGTTCTGCAGTCAAGGGGTCTCTGCCTCAGCACAGTCCCCGACATTAAAGGGGCTCCCACCATATCATGTTCTCAGAGAAGCTGAGGCTCTGCCTTAAAGTGTCCTCCAGTCAGCTTCCCCAAGGAAGGAGGGGCTGCCTGACATGTGAGTGCTGCGGGGCTGGGTGCGGTGGCTCACCCCTGTAATCCCAGCACTTTGGGAGGCCAAGGCAGGCAGATCACTTAAGGTCAGGAGTTCGAGACTAGCCTGGCCAACGTGGTAAAACCCCATATCTACTAAAAATACAAAAATTAGCCAGACATGGTGGGGCGTGCCTGTAATCCCAGCTATTCAGGAGACTGAGGCAGAAGAATTGCTTGAACTGGGGAGCTGGAGGTTGCAGTGAGCCGAGATCATGCCATTGTACTCCAGCCTGGGTGACAAGGCGAGACTCCATCTCAAAAAAAAAAATAAAAAAATAAAAAAAGAGAGTGCCGTGACATTCCTACTATGTCAGTTCCCTAGGTGAAGGTGTCGCCTAAACCAAGGGTCAATTGTGGGGTCTCCACTGTATCAGTTTCCTGGTTAGAAGAGCCTCAGGCTGAAGGTTCACTTCAGAGTCCTTGCTGTGTCCGTTCCTAGGTGAGGAGTTCCCCTAGACTGAGGGTCTGTTACAGGTACTGTCCCTTGACATCCGGGGACCCCCTCCAGCTCAGCCACGGGCATTACCTGCAGGATGGTGAAGTTCTCCAGGACGCTGTTCATCATGTATCGCTCAGGCAGCTGCCGCAACTTGTGCAAGAAATTCACCAGGTACTCGCACATGGGCGAACGTAGCAGGCGGTACACAAATCTCCCGTCCTCCAGCTGGGCCCGTTCCGTCTGAACCAAGGGGCAGGGAGTGGGAAGAATGCTGGCTGAGAGAGACACGGGTCACCCCACGAACTGAGCTCCACCCTGTGCCTCCTAGATGCCACCACACTGACTCCCACTGCTCCCCCCTCACATCACCCCACCCACAGTGACAGGAGACTGGACCGGAACCCTTGGGTATCCAGCTCAGGATCTCCGTGCCTGCAAATCACAAGCCCCTCAAAGTTATGCTCTGAACCCTCAAAGACCTCTGAACTCCTCTAACCTCCCAGCCCCCAGATACCCTCCAAAGATCCCTCCATGACATCTGCAAACTCTGTCCGATCTCTAAACTTACTTCCCCAAGTCTCCAGCAACCCTTAAGTGTGACTTCTGTTTTGTTTTTTGTTTGTTTGTTTTTTGAGACAGAGTCTTGCTCTGTCACCCAGGCTGGAATGCAGTGGTGCAATCTCGGCTCACTGTGACCTCCACCTCCTGGGTTCAAGTGATTCTCCCGCCTCAGCCTCCTGAGTAGCTGGGATTACAGGTGCCTGCCACCACGCCCGGCTAATTTTTGTATTTTTAGTAGAGACGGAGTTTCACCATGTTGGTCAGGCTGGTCTCAAACTCCTGACCTTGTGATCTGCCCGCCTCGGCCTCCCAAAGTGCTGGGATTATAGGTGTGAGCCACCTCACCAGGCCTTAAGTGTTACTTCTCAACCTTCTTGCCTTAGGAATGTCTCCATATCCATAAGACGCTTCTCAATCTCTGTGACTAAATCTCTATGCCACACATTCCCTGTTAGCCCTCAGAATGATTCCTACCTGTGACTTCTGAACTATACAACTTTTCCCAACTCATGCATTAAACCCTCAAAGAGGCTGGGAGCCACTCCCTCCATGCACACCCCCAAATGCCTGAGCCATCATGGCTTCTGATCCATTCTGCACCCCCGAGTGGTGGGTGGCTGGGCGCTCACCTGCCCAGAGCTCCACCCCTCCAGCCTCACCTCCACCTTCTCCACCACCTGCTTGCCAAAGGAGCAGACCTTGGAGGAACAGGTGAGGGTCATGTGTTCCAGGCTCTCATACTGGCTGCTCACTCCATAGAAGCCACCACTGCTGCTACTGCCACCGGCCCCCGCCTCCTCGCCACTTGGGCCCCAGTTCAGGTCCGCCTGGGAGATGGGAAGGCACAGATGAGTCAGAGGGGACGTCCCTTATAAACAGTGGGGACTGCCAGGAGCGGTGGCTCATGCCTGTAATCCCAGCACTTGGGGAGGCCGAGGCTGGCAGATCACCTGAGGCTGGGAGTTCAATAACCAGCCTGACCAACATGGAGAAACCCCATCTCTACTAAAAATACAAAATTAGCCAGGCGTGGTGGTGCACGCCTGTAATCCCAGCTACTCAGGAGGCTGAGGCAGGAGAATCGCTTGAAACTGGGAGGTGGAGGTTGCAGTGAGCCAAGATTGCACCATTGCACTCCAGTCTGGGCAACAAGAGCAAAACTCTGTGTCAAAAAACAACAACAACAACAACAACAGTGGGGACCCCATTACCCCTGCAGTTCTCAGGTCAATTCCTCAGCATTTTGTTTTGTTTTGTTTTGTTTTTGGAGACAGGATCTTGCTCTGTCACCCAGGCTGGAATGCAGTGTTGCAATCACAGTTTACTGCAGCCTTGACCTCCTGAGCTCGTGATCCTCCCACCTCAGCCTCCTGAGTAGCTAGGACCACAGGTGCATGCCACCACATCCAGCTAATTGTAAAAACGGGTTTTTACCATGTTGCCCAGGCTGGTCTCAAACTCCTGGGCCCAAGTGATCCTCCCACCTCCCAAAGTGCTGGGATTAAAGGCATGAGCCACCACCGCACCTGGCTTTCAAAGTTCTCCAACGGCTGGTTTCTGGAGGAGATCCACTGCCCATAAGTGTTGGAGAAGTCTGGGTCCCTAAAATGTCTTGGCCCTCTCTCCCCAGTAACCAAAGGAGCCCTGGAATTCAACCTTTTTCTCTTGAAGCCCGCAACTCAAGAGTTCAGCCCCTTCCAAGGGCCTGGTTACTAAGGAGGCAGTTACTCCTTAGCAACCTGTTGAAGACGGATCCCTCCCTCTGAACCCCTCTCATCCTGGTTGCTAAGGCAAGTGGCTACTCCCTAGCAACGGAACCTCATGCAGCCGGAGGAGGCCTGACTCCTCTTCAGAGCACCTCCCCCCAGCCGAATCAGAGAGGCTAGACGCCCTCCGTGATGCCACTAGTCAAGTGCATAGAGAGCTGGCCAAGTGTCACTAGGCCAAGTGGGGCCTAAGGAAGCCTAAGACCTCATCACATCTTTGTTCTGAGTCACCTCTTTGAGAGGCATGCCTCTTCCTAACTTTTTTTTTTTTTTTGAGATGGGGTCTTGCTCTGTCACCCAGGCTGGAGTGCAATGGCACGATCTCTACTCACTGCAACCTCTGCTTCCTGGGTTCAAGCGATTCTCCTGCCTCAGCCTCTCAAGTAGCTGGGATTACTGGTGCGAACCACCACGCCTGGCTAATTTTTTGTATTTTTAGTAGAGACAGGGTTTCACCATGTTGGCCAGGCTGGTCTCAAACGCCTGACCTTGTGATCCACCAGCCTCGGCTTCCCAAAGTGCTGGGATTACAGACGTGAGCCACTGCGCCTGGCCACTCTTCCTAACTTTAGTTGCTAACACTTCACCAGGTCAGTCTTCTCAGGGGCCCAACTCCATCCCTCACTATGGCAAAACCAAAGGCCTTACCAGCTGCTCTTCTGAACCCCTTCAGCAGCTGGGCTTCCTAAGGGGGTGGCTGTCCAGACCTGGGACCTGATGAGGCCTGTCTTCAGCTCCAACAATGCCTAAGCCCTCAGCTGCATTTCCCTAGAGCAGTCTCAGGCCGCCACATCACACGGAGGAAAGCTTGGGAACCGTGACAGTGACATTCTCAGCAAGAGCAGTTCAGCCCCTCAGCAAGCTTTCTTTCTTTTTTTGAGACAGAGTCTCATTCTGTCACCCAGGCTAGAGGGCAGTGGCACAATCTTGGCTCACAGCACCCTCCACCTCCCAGGCTTAAGTGATCCTCCCACCTCAGCCTCTGGGGAAGCTGGGACCACAAGTGTGCACCGCCATGCGCAGCTAATTTTTTCATTTTTTTGTAGAGTTGAGGTCTCATTGTGTTGCCCAGGCTGGTCTCAAACTAGCCTCTCACCTTAGCCTCCCAGAGTGCTGGGAAGTTAGGAGTGAACCACTGCATCTAGCCAGCCTTTCTTCTCAGAGACTACATCTCTCTACCACGCTTGTTACTATGAGAGCTAGCACCCTCAACACCCAGGCAACATTTATTGAGCCCAGGCCAGGTGCTGTGGCTCACACCTGGAAGCCTAGCACTTTGGGAGGCCAAGATGGATGGATCACTTGAGGTCAGGAGTTCGAGACCAGCTTGGCCAACGTGGTAAAACCCCATCTCTACTAAAAATACAAAAATTAGCCTGGGAACAGTGACTCACACCTGTAATCCTGGCACATTGGGAGGCCAAGGTGGGCAGATCACTTGAGGTCAGGGGTTTGAGACCAGCCTGGCCAACATGGTGAAACCCCATCTCTACTAAAAATTTAAAAATTAGCTGGGCATGGAGGCAGATGCCTGTAATCCCAACTACTTGGGAAGCTGAGGCAGGAGAATCACTTGAACCCAGGAGGCTGAGGTTGAAGTGAGCCGCCATCGCACCATTGCACTCCAGCCTCGGCCACAAGAACGCAACTCCATCTCAAAAAATTTAATTAATTAAATTAAATTAAACACATTGGTTGAGCCCTGCAGTGTCAGTTCTCATAGTGGACACTAAACCATGTAGACCTAAGAAACACCCAAGATGGGCCCTCTTAGTCACAATTATATAAATAGCACCTGACATCAGGCCTGTATATAGAAAGTGCTTAGGCCGGGCATGGTGGCTCACGCCTGTAATCCATGCATTTTGGAGGCCAAGGCGGGTGGATCACCTGAGGTTGGGAGTTCAAGACCAGCCTGACCAACATAGTGAAACGCTGTCTTTAAAAAAAAAAAAAAAAAAAAAAAGTGCTTTATAAATGATTGCTACATAAATAAAGGACTTGGCCGGGCATGGTGGCTCATGCCTGTAATCCCAGCACTTTGGGAGGCCAAGGGGGGAGGATCATTTAAGGCCAGGAGTTTGAGACCAGCCTGGCCAACATGGTAAAATCCTGTCTCTACTAAATATACAAAAATTAACCAGATGTGGTGGCAGGCTCCTGTAGTCCCAGCTACTCAGGAGGCTGAGGCAGGAGAATCACTTGAACCTGGGAAGCAGAGGTTGCAGTGAGACGAGATCCACCCACTGCACTCCAGTCTGGGTGACAGTAAGACTCTGTCTCACAAATAAATGAATGAATAAATAAATAAATACGGGAATTGAAAAAGCCACTCCGTGGCTCCTTCAATCACTTCTCAAAGCCATTCTCTAGCAACAAGGTCTGGTGGAACTGACGCAAAGCATCAGTCCCCTCTTTATAGACCAGAGCCTCCACAAGTCCACTGGCTAAGGCGAGGGAAATGTTTCTTAGCAGCAAGGCTTCGTGCAGTCAGATGGGGCACAGAGAAGCCTGAAATGAGGCAAACCAATGCCCAGGACCATATGAGTTACACAGCCAGGTAACTAAGCATATCAGTTACATGTGGCAATGTCTAGTGGGATCCAGGGAGGCCCCAGCACCTCCAACCCACCCTGGGGGCCACCCTCCTCGGTGTTCCTTGTGGCAAAGCGGGCTGACACTCCAAGCCAGGAGGACTGACCGGTACATCCCAGACTGACCTGGTAGGGCTCGCGACTGTCTGTCTTAGGGCCCACTACTGTCTGTCTTAGGGCCAGAGGCCTCTGCTGGGACACCACAGGATTTGTGAGCACTTCGGGTGAAAACTTACCCAGAACTTGACCAGGAAGAATGCATGGGGGGGCCCACGATCATACAGCTCCCGGAGGCCACCCTTTTTCTCGGGGAATTTGTCATAGATCTGCCGGACGTCCACGCTCTCGAGCGGCGGCGCTCCGGGGCTGGGGCAGTGCTGGCTGATGTGCACGAACAGGTGCCTCTGGTACTGAGGAGGGTTGGCCGTGGGTGAGAAGCTGGAGGTGGGCTGGACCTCCAGCCCATGCTGCCTGAGCCTACCTCATGCCGTCACCACCCCCACAGCTCTCCACTGTTCCACACTGTCCACCCAGCGCTAGGCCAGACCTCCATCCACTGTCCCCACTCCTGCTCCTGCACTCACAGTCCCCTGCAGCCCCGGCAGTCCCATAGTCCCCAGCTCCCTGCCGCACCCCCTCAACTCCATCCTCACTGCCTCAGCCTCAGCTCAGGCCTCCCACCCTCACCCCAGCCTCCAACCTGGCCTCCCCAGTTCATCCCTCACATGGTTCCAGAGCTGACCCTGGCCCTCCCCTGGTCATAGCCCTCTCATAACCCCCCAGCACCCTCAGGACAAAGCTCACACTCCCTAGGCCTGGTTTTATATAGAACAAGTGCTCATAAATGTTCAGTGGATGGATGAGTGTGAATGAATGGGAATCCACAGAGGTCTTATGATTAATGTTTTGACCGATGTTTATATGGTGTGGCAGAGACTGCTATGTGTTCACAAATCCTGGGTCCTTGACACAGTGAGAAACTACATTTCCCAGGCTGCTTTGCAGTTAGCTGTGACCACATGACTAAGTTCTGGTCAATGGGATGTGACCAGGTCTGACAGTTGACACATCCAAGCCAGACTCCTAAAACCTCCTGCATAATCTTAACTCTCTCCCTTCCTCCATCTGCTGCGCAGATGCAGAGGCTCCATCAGCACATTCTGAAGACTTAGAAAACGGCAGAACTACAAAATGGAAGGAGCCTATATCCCCAAATCACTTGATCACCAGGCTCCTGCTGAACTTACATTGAAATGTTACAAGAAACTTATCTGGCGTTCAGTCCCTAAGAGTTAGGAGCTGTTTCTCCTAACAGCCCACTCCATCCTAGCCCAGGAGAAGCTCAAGCACAGAAATAACACCTTTTCCAAGTTACTAGGATACATCACAAAACCTAACGAACAGTAGAAACTCAAACATGTTTGATGAATGAATAAATTATGTCCTGAGGAGTTTTTCTGACCTTCCCAACTTGTCACCCCATGACCTAACAGTTCTTTATGCTACTAGTTCTCAAAGTACGGTCCCCGGACCAGCTGCCACAACTCACCTGGTAGCTTATTAGAAACACAAATTCTCGAGCCCCACATCACATCTAGCAAATCAGAAATTCTGGGGATGGGGCCCGGCAATCTCTGTTTTAAGAAGCCCTCCAGATGATTCTGATACATGCTAAAGTTTGAGAACGGTGACTTTATACCTTCCCTCCCTGTCATCCTCTATATTCCAAAATCCCTCATTGACTATACCTAAATTTCACTCACAGAATCAACTGCATCCGGCGGTTCCACAAAGGCTGAGAACTCTACCAGCTGCAACCGGGCAGTGCCCAGGGCCCGAGCCTGCCAGGCTGGGGGCGATGGGGCAGGTGGAGGCAGGGGTGAGAGGGCTTGGGGGGGCTCGTACCCTAGAGAGAGAGAAGAAAGAACAATACAAATTGCTGACATTTATTGAATCTATCAGGTACTGTTGTCTCTTGCCTGCCTCCACTTAGAAGCTGAAAAAGCTAAATACTCACTTTCCCAGCCTCCCTTGCAGTTAGAGGTGGCCATGTGACACAGTCCTAGCCAATGAGACGTTAGGGAAAATCTGCTGGGGGGCTTCTGGGAAGGAGTTTCTTCCTGAATGAAAAAGACAGAACTTTGGGAGGAGAAAGCTTTTGGCCCTGGCCAAGTCCTGCTTGGGACGCTGACATGGTTTGGATATTTGTCCCCTCCAAATCTCATGTTGAATTGGGATCCCTGGCTGTGGCTCATGCCTGTAATCCCAGAACTTTGGGAAGCTTAAGGCAGGTGGATCATCCTGGCTAACAAGGTGAAACCCTGTCTCCACTAAAAATACAAAAAATTAGCCGGGCAGGTGCCTGTCATCCCAGCTACTTGGGAGGCTGAGGCAGGAGAATTGCTTGAACCTGGGAGGTGGAGGATGCAGTGAGCCAAAATCATGCCACTGCACTCCAACCTGGGGGACAGAGCAAGGCTGCAACTCAAAAAAGAAAGAAAGAAAGAAAGAAATGCGATCCCCAAGGTGGGAGATGGGGCCTGATGGGAAGCGTATGGGTCATGGGGGCGGATCCCTCATGAATGTCTTGGTACCCTCCCTAAATAGTAATGAGTGAGTTCTCACTCTTCGAGTTGATGTGAGCTGGTTGTTTAAAGGAGCCTGGCTTCACTGTCTTGCTCCCTCTCGCCATGTGACGTGGTGGCTCTCCTTCCCCTTCCACCATGATCCTAAGCTTCCTGAGGCCCTTACCAGAAGCAGAGGCTGGCAACATGCTTTCTGTACAGCCTGCAGAACTGTGAACCAAAAAAAAAACCTCTTTTCCGTATAAGTCACCCAGTCTCAGGCATTCCTTTATAGCAATGCTAATGGACCAACACAGATACAGTGCCTGAAGTTGCAACAGCCATCTTGGGACAATCAGACAGACATCAGGGGAACTGCAGAGATGCCAGTCCTGATATTGCTAAGCCCACACGGGAACAGCCCACCTCCAGACTTTTTATTGTGTGGACTCATGACATGAATGCTTTTACTATGTAAGGCATTGTCAGTTTGGGTCTTCTGTTACTTGCAGCCAAAAGTATTCTTAATTGATAAATCTATGGAAACTAAGGGAACTAGAGACTCCTTCTTTCACTGATCTGAGTTCTCACAGCCATGTCAGCATGGACTTCCAGAAGCCATCTTTGCTGTCAAGTAGCTGAGTCTGCCTGGAAATGAGGCCACCACAGTGGAAAGCAGATCAAAGTAATTCCTGATGCTATCACTTGAGCCGCTGGATCCAGCTATGCCTGAAGCCACAATTCTGAATTATCAGTTACTGGAACCAATAAATCAATAAATTTTTCTTTCTTTTTTTTTTTTTCTTTTTTGGAGAAGGAATCTCACTCCGTCACCCAGGCTGGAGTGCAATGGCGCAATCTCAGCTCACTGCAACTTCTGCCTTCCAAGTTCAAGCAATTCTCCTGCCTCAGCCTCCTGAGAAGCCTCCTGAGGCGCATGCCACCACACCTGGCTAATCTTTGTATTTTCAGTAGAGGCGGGGTTTCACCATGTTGGCCAGGATGGTCTTGAACTCCTGACCTCAGGTGATCCACCCAACTTGGCCTCCCACAGTGCTAGGATTACAGGCATGAGCCCCGACACTGGGCCTCTTCTTTTCTGAAATGTTACTTCACCTGGCTTGATTTGGATTTCTATCACTTGCGGGTGAAAGCATCTTGACTAACACACCTCCCCAATGTCTCATAAGCTAGCAAGTGGCAGAACACAAACCCAGTGTGCATGGCTACAAAGATCACGCTCTTAACCATCACACATTCCACCACTCAGCTCTCCAGCACCACCCTGCTCCCCTGCCCACAACACACACACCCTGCCTCAAAGCTGGGCTTCAGTAAGAATGTATACCCCAATTGGCCAGGTACGGTGGCTCATACCTGTAAATCACCCAGTCTTTGGGAGGCCACGGCGTGCAGATCACAAGGTCAAGAGATGGAGACCATCCTGACCAACATGGTAAAATCCCATCTCTATAAAATCACAAAAATGAGCTGGGCATGGTCACGCGCACCTGCAGTCCCAGCTACTGGGGAGGCTGAGGCAGGAGAATCGCTTGAACCCAGGTGGTAGAGGTCGCAGCGAGCTGAGATCGCACCACTGTACTCCAGCCTGGCAAAAGAGCAAGACTCCGTCTCCAAAAAAAAGAATGTATCCCCAGTTGATGGACGGTTGAAGGAAAGGCAGTAGGGGTCGAAGAGAGAGAGGGAAGACAAGGGAGGGTGGACCGAAAGATCTCACCTGGGAGGTCAGTAGATGGGGGAGTCAGTGACAAGGAGAACGGTGTCTGTGAGAATGGCTTCACACTGAGGGAGAAAGGAAGCCAGGGGTTAGCCAGGTAGAAAGATGCTAATGTCACCAGCAAATGTATACTGAGAGGCCACCATCCAGACCCTGTGCTAATACATTTTGTGCACAATCTCACTGAAGCCTCACAGCCCACAAGGTAGGTAGAATTACTGCTCTTCTCATTGTACAAATGAGGAAACTGAGGTATAGAGGGTCAAGTGACCTGCCCAAAGTCACACAGCTGAGATGCAGCAGAGCAGGGACTTGAACCCAGGTCAGTCTCAGCCGGTATCTCAGGCTCTTGATGATGACATTTTGGTATCTCTTACAAAATGTCGGAAAGAGAAACCAGCTGGGTGTGGTGGCTCAGACCTGTAATCCCAGCACTTTGGGAGGCCGAGGTGGGTGGATCACTTGAGGTCAGGAGTTCGAGACCAGCCTGGCCAACATGCCGAAACCCCATCTCTTCTAAAAATACAAAAATTAGCTGGGTATGGTGGCAGGCACCTGTAATCCCAGTGACAGGGGGCTGAGGCAGATTTGCTAGAACCTGGGAGGCAGAGGGTGCAGTGAGCCGAGATCATGCCATTACACCCCTGGGCGACAGAGCAAGACTCCATCTTAAGCCGGGCGTGGTGGCTCACGCCTATAATCCCAGCACTTTGGGAGGCCGAGGCAGGTGGATCACGAGGTCAAGAGATCAAGACCATCCTGGTCAACATCGTGAAACCCCGTCTCTACTAAAAATACAAAAAATTAGCTGGGCACGGTGGTGAGTGCCTGTAATCCCAGCTGCTCAGGAGGCTGAGGCAGGAGAATTGCCTGAACCCAGGAGGCAGAGGTTGCGGTGAGCCGAGATTGCACCATTGCACTCCACTCCAGCCTGGGTAGCAAGAGCGAAACTCCATCTCAAAAAAAAAAAAAAAAAAAGAGAAGAGAAAAAAAGAAACCAGTGCTAGGATTACAGGTGTGAGAGCCACCACACGCGGCCTCCTTTTCTTATTAATTCTTCGTTTCTATGTTTATTGTCTGTCTCATCCCGGCCCCAAACATATGAAGCTCCATGAAGGCAGGGATTCCACCTGTCTTACTCACTGCTGTGACCCCCAAACCAAGCACAGAATCAGGCCCTTAGCAGGCACTCAGCAAATACTGGCCTGGCCTCCTCTAGCTTCTTGGAACCCAGCAAGATCTCCTATCTCAGGACCTTGTCACATGCCATTCTCTCTGCCTAATATATTCCCACTCCCATTCTTTTTTTTCCTTTGAGACAGAAGTTTCACACTAGTGATGGGGTTTCACCATGTTAGCCAGGCTGGTCTCAAACTCCTGACCTCAGGTGATCCATCCACCTCGACCTCCCAAACTACCGGGATCATAGGCCTGAGCCACTGCACCCAGACTCCCACTCCCACTCTTCACCTGGCTAAGTCCTACCCAGACTTCAATGTTACCTTCTCAGAGACACCCCTAGAACTTTCTCCTCCACCCCAGAACCCACTGTGGTTCTTCACAGCACCTCACACACTCTTCAGTTTTGTTTATGCAGGTGATGATTTGATTAACACTCATTTACCCCATTTGACTAACAGCTCCATCAAAGCGGAAACCCGAGGCTCAGGGCAGTGCCTGCCCAACCCCGAACCTTCCAGCTCAGCACCCTCCCCTGCAAACCCTCACCCCCAAGGGACTTGATCTGATGCTTCCCATGTCCGCATTCAGCAGCAGCTCCCCAGTGACCTTCCTTCTCTCCCAGTCTGGATCCCACAGCCTGTCACTGCACTCTTTCTTTTGTTTTTGAGACGGAGTCTCGCTCTATCGCCCGGGCTGGAGTACAGTGTCGAGGTCTCGGCTCACTGCAACCTCCACCTCCTGGGTTCAAGTGATTCTCCTGTCTCAGCTTCCTGAATAGCTGGGACTACAGGCGCATGCCCCATGCCTGGCTAAATTTTTTGTGTGTGTTTTTAGTAGAGACCAGGTTTCACCATGATGGCTAGGATGGTCTTGATCTCCTAACCACGTTTTGCCCCCACCTCAGCCTCCCAAAGTGCTGGGATTACAGGCATGAGCCACCATGCCTGGCCCTCACTGCACTCTTCCTCTGGCACTCTGGCAATACTGTCAACACTCCTGTCTCACCGTCTGGCAGCCACACTACCCAACCAATGCATAGCCTGGATCCATCAACTCCTCTCTGGGCTGAAAAATACACCCCAGCCCGGCATGGTGGCTCATGCCTGAAATGCCAGCACTTTTGGAGGTCAAGGCAGGGGAATCACTTGAGCCCAGGAGTTTGAGACCAGCCTGGTCAACATAGCAAGACTCCATCTCTACACAAAAAAATCAAAAAATTAGGGGAGAGACAGCATGGGGAGAAATGCCAGATATAGGTGAAGGGGAGGAAAGCAGCAAATCACACTGCCATGTGTGTACCTATGCAACAGTCTTGCATGTTCTTCACAAGTACCCCAAAACCTAAAATGCAATAAAAAAAAAAAAATCAAAAAATTAGCCAGGCATGGTGGCACATGCCTGTAGTCTCAGCTACTCAGGATACTGAGGCAGGAGGATTGCTTGAGCCCAGGAGGCTGACGCTGCAGTGAGCCATGATCATGCCACTGCACTCTAGCCTAGGCAATAGCGCAAGATCCTTTTTTTTAAAAAAAAAAAAGAAAGAAGAAAAAAAAAAAGGACTTCCCATGATCTTCTGGGGCCCATTTCTATCTTTGCAGGCTAGAAGCACATCCTGTCACCTCAAGGCTCTCTCAGAACTGAAAAGGACACTCCCACTTACCTATGGACCCGTTTTCTTCCTTCTGAATCTAAGAGAAGATTATAACCTCTGTTCTATCCTCAGGTCCAAGGACCACCTAATGGAGGCTGGGTGCGGTGGCTCATGCCTGTAATCCTAACACTTTGGGAGGCCAAGGCAGGTGAATCACAAGGTCAGGAGTTCAAGGCAGCCTGGCCAAGATGGTGAAACCCCACCTCTACTAAAAAAACAAAAAATTAGCTAGGTATAGTGGCAGGCGCCTGTAGTCCCAGCTACTCAGGAGGCTGAGGCAGGAGAATTGCTTGAACCCAGGAGGTGGAGATTGCAGTGAGCCGAGATCACGCCACCGTACCCCAGTCTAGGTGACAGAGTTGAGGCTCCATCTCAAAAAAAAAAAACAAAAAACAGGTGGGCAGATCACCTGAGGTCAGGAGTTCAAGACCAACCTGGCCAACACGGTGAAACCCTGTCTTTATTCAAAAAAACGAAACAAAACAAAACCCTCTTTTATTCCAACACCAACACAGTGGTGGAGCTGCTACTACTACTATTACTATTATTATTATTATTATCTTTTTTTTGCTCACCTTCAACTGTCTTGATCGAGTTATAGGGAGCTACTATTATTATTCCCATTTTAGAGATGAGGAAATTGAGGCTTTGAGCATTGAATTCACCTACCCAAAAGCCTATAACCAAGAAAGCGCGGAGCTAGGATTCAAATCCAGTAACCTGGCTCCACACTCTGTGTTCAAAAGGGAGATGGGCCAGGCGCAGTGGCTCACGCCTGTAATCCCAGCATTTGGGAGGCCAAAGTAAGCGAATCAACGGAGACCAGGAGTTCGAGACCAGCCTGGCCAACATGGCAAAACCCCATCTCTACTGAAAATACAAAAATTAGTTGGGCATGGCGGTGGGCACCTGTAATTCCAGCTACTTGGGAGGCTGAGACAGGAGAATCACTTGAACCCAGGAGGTGAAGTTGCAGTGAGCTGAGATGGTGCCACTGCCCCCCAGCCTGGGCAACAGAGCAAGACTGCATCTCAATAAATAAATAAAAGCGGGGAGATGGGAGCTAGAAGGTGGAGTGAGAGTGGTGTCTGTCAGGCTGTGAGGGTGGGGAGCAGGTGCAGAACCAGGACACATGGTACTCACTCTGGAACATTCCAGGGGGGCCCAGAGCCCCCAGACCAAAACTGGAAAAGCTCAGAGGCCTGGAGAGGACACAAAGAAAAATGGTTAGTCAGTCCCCTGTGGACAGCTGCAGCCCCATCCACCCCCCTTTGCCCCCAAGTCCCACAGTCCCCAACCTGGACCACCTGAGGCCCGGTGGGACCCAGTTTGGCCTGCAGGGAAGGTGCAGAGATGAGCTGGGCAGAGGACATGGTCGCCATTGTCTGGAAAGCCTTGTCCTTGGAAACCTGGTCCTGGAGGAAGAGGTGGAATTTCCCGTGAGTGGGGCATGCCAGTCACTATGGCAAGAGGGGGACGATGCTGGGGTGGGGTGAGAGTGGGAGGTGCAGAGGGTGGGAGTCAAGGCAAAGGGTTGGTGCCCAGGCATGGGGGCTCACGCCTGTAATCCCAGCACTTTGGGAGGCTGAGGTGGGCAGATCACTTGAGGTCAGGAGTTCAAGATCAGTCTGGCCGACATGGTGAAACCCCATCTCTACTAAAAATACAAAAATTAGCCAGGTGTGATGGTGCACGCCCATAATCCCCGCTACTAGGGAGGCTGAGGCACGAGAATCGCTGGAACCCAGGAGGCAGAGGTTGCCGTGACTGGAGATCATGCCTCTGCATTCCAGCTTGGGCGACAGAGCCAGACCCTGTCTCCAAAAAAAGGGAAAGGGTTGGGGGAGGGTTGAGCCTCTCACCACAGCCCCCTGCCCCTCCTCAGGACGGGGTACTAGTCTGGAGTGAACGTGGATGGTAGGATGGGCAGGGGGACTTACCACATTCAGTGCCTGCCCGTGGGGGTGGGGGAGGGTGCCAAAGGAGGAAAGAAAACATGACTTAGGAAGTGTGGCCCGGACTCCCCTACCTCCCTGCCCTACCCGCCCGCACAGCCCCGCCACCCTGAGCTGAGCAATGCCAGGGCATGGATGCGGAACAGGAAGTGGAGGTGGCCAGCCCTGGAGGGGAAAAGAGGCTCCCTGCCCAGAAAGACAGCGATGAGGGTTTCCAGAACAAGGAAAGCCAGAAGGTTCCCAGATGTCCCGGCGACAGGAAATGAGAATTTCAGAGCCAGTGGGAAGACGAGGTGAATGTTTCCTAACCCAGACAGAACTGATAGGTAACAGAGAAGGTTGAGAACAGAACGGAAAGAAAGGGTTTCAGATCTAGAGAGAAAGGGAAAGCTTCTGGATATTTAAAACATACACCCACACCCACACACCACACAAACACACACACACACACACACTCAATAACAGGAAGCTGGCTGGGCGTGGTGGCTCACGCCTGTAATCCCAACACTCTGGGAGGCCAACGCAGGCAGATCACGAGGTCAAGAGATACAGACCATCCTGGCCAACGTGGTGAAATGCCATCTCTATTAAAAATACAAAAAATTAGCTGGATGCGGTGGAGTGCGCCTGTAATCCCTGCTACTCGGGAGGCTGCGGCAGGAGCATCACTTGAACCCAGGTGGCAGAGGTTGCAGTGAGCCGAGACTGCGCCACTGCACTCCAGCCTGGCAACAGAAGGAGACTCCATCTCAAAACACAAACACACACACACACACACACACACACACACACACCAGAAAATGACTGTCCCCAAGTCCAGAAAGAGACAGAAAAACCCTGCACACCCAGAAGGGAACGAAAATGAGGGCCTCAGGCCAGGAGGAGCCAGGAAATCCCAAGGACGAGGAAAAGAAAACGGACAGGCAATCTCCACCAGGAAATGAAGATTTGTGGTCATGGAAAGAGGCAGGCCACACGAAGCCCAGGAAACAGGGAAAGAAACCAGGGGAGACAAAGAGGCCTTCACAGCATGAGACGGGGAAGAAGGAGACCGAGAGGAAAAGAGAAAGGAGGGACAGGAGCTGAGGGAAGGGAAGGGACGGGAACAGTAGCCAAGGGAGAGGACTGAAGGCTCATGCCACTGCTCCCTGCCCAGGGTCTCAGCGACTACATCACCATCCCTATCTAGCTCCCTTTGTGGCCACTGACTCCCCACCCAAGATGTCTACACACCCTGCCCCGTCCAGAGGTCCCTCACCTGAGGTCTCTGTCCCCCTCTCTCTAGATCTCTGTCCCCCTCTCTCTCTGGGTCTCTGTCCCTCTCTCTCTGGGTCTCTGTCCCCCTGTCTCTGGGTCTCTGTCCCCCTCTCTCTCTGGGTCTCTGTCCCTCTCTCTCTGGGTCTCTGTCCCCCTCTCTCTCTGGGTCTCTGTCCCTCTCTCTCTGGGTCTCTGTCCCCCTCTCTCTCTGGGTCTCTTTCTGTCTCTCTCTGGGTCTCTGTCCCCGTCTCTGGGTCTCTGTCCCTCTCTCTCTGGGCCTCTGTCCCCCTCTCTCTCGGTCTCTGTCCCTTTCTCTGGGTCTCTGTCTGTCTCTCGCTGGGTCTCTGTCCCCCTCTGTCTCTGGGTCTCTGTCCCCCTCTGTCTCTAGGTCTCTGTCCCTCTCTCTGTGGGTCTCAGTCCTCCCGACAAGTCTCTGTCCCCCTCTCAGGATGTCTCCGTTGGTCCCTACCTTCAACTTGGACTGTATTTCCCTCGATTTCCTTCGGGCCAAAACTTGGATGTGACTAGAAACCTGGAAGGATCAACAGAGAAGCAGATTCAGGCCGCGGGCTCCTGCCCTGTGCTCACTCCCCCTTCTCTCCCCGCAGGGGCCTCACGGAGCTGCTGCAATACGAAAGGTGACAAACACACTGAAGACAAGGCCAGATGTAGTGGCCTGTAACCCAGCATTTTGGGAGGCTGAGGTGGGTGGATCACAAGGTCAGGAGTTCGAGACCAGCCTGGCCAACATGGTGAAACCCCATCTCTACTAAAAATACAAAAATTAGCCAGGCGTGCTGGTGGCGCATGCCTGTGATCCCAGCTACTCGGGAGGCTGAGGCAGGAGAATTGCTTGAACCCGGGGGCAGGGGTTGCAGTGAGTCGAGATCCCACCATGGCACTCTAGCCTGGGCGACAAGAGCGAGATTTTGTCTCAGACCAAAAAAAACCACACTGAAGATGAGCACCAACTCGGGAGCATGCGAATACAGATGGCCATAAAGGAGCTGACGAACACCACGGATCCTCCCCGGGCCCATCCCACCCAGGCTTCCTTCCCCTCCACCATGCTCTCTGTGGCTCCTCTGGCTCTAACACAACTGCTAGAAGAACGATCAGTCCCCAAATAGGCACAGTGAGAGCACGCTAACAGATGTGCTGATACAGTTCAGATGTTTGTCCTCTCCAAATCTCATGCTGAAATGCGATCTCCAATGCTGGAGGTAAGGCCTGGTGGGATCGGATCATGGAGGCAAACCCCTCATGAATGGCTTAGCACCATCTCCTTGATGATGAGTGACTTCTCTCTCAGTTCACTCAATATCTGGTTGGTTAGGCCGGGCACAGTGGCTCGTGCCTGTAATCCCAGCACTTTGGGAGGCCGAGGCAGGTGGATCACTGAGGTTGGGAGTTTATCGGCCTGAGACAAACATGGAGAAAGTCCGTCTCTATTAAAAATACAAAATTAGCTAGGCATAGTGGTGCATGCCTGTAATCCCTGCTACTCAGGAGGCTAAGACAGAATTGCTTGAACGCGGGAGGTAGAGGTTGCAGTGAGCCAAGATCACTCCACTGCACTCTAGCCTAGGTGACAGAGCTAGACTCCATTTCAAAAAATAAATAAACAAATATATAAATAACCCAGCCTCGGGTAATTCTTCATAGCAACACTAATGGACTAATGCACACACCGAGAAGACAGATGAAAGCACAGGAACTAGCTTCTTTTCTTTTCTTTTCTTTTCTTTTTCGACAGAGTTTTTGCTCCTGTCGCCCAGGCTGGAGTGCAGTGGCGCTATCTGGCTCACGGCAACCTCCGCCTCCCGGGTTCAAGCAATTCTCCTGCCTCAGCCTTCCGAGTAGCTGGGATTACAGGTATGTGCCACCCCGGCTAATTTTATATTTTTAGTAAAGAAAGGGTTTCTCCATGTTGGTCAGGCAGTTCTCAAACTCCCCACCTCAGGCGATCCGCCCACTTCGGCCTCCAAAAGTGCTGGGATTATAGGTGTGAGCAACTGCGCCCAGCGCCCCCCACTTTTTTTTAAAGACTCAGTCTCACTTTTGTCCGTCACCCTGCAGTGCAATGATATGATCTCGGCTCGCTGCCACCTCTGCCTCCCAGGTTCAAGCGATTCTCCTGCCTCAGCCTCCTGAGTAGCTGGGATTACAGGTCCCTGCCATTACACCTGGCTAACTTTTGTATTTTTAGTAGAGATGGGGTTTCACTATGTTGGCCAGGCTGGTCTTGAACTCCTGACCTCAGGTGATCCGCCCACCTCAGCCTAGCAAAGTGCTGGGATTACAGGCGTGAGCCACCGTGCCAGGCCAGGAACCAGTTTCTTCCTTGAACCTGAACCTGCCCATGGGAGGATGACCCTAAAACCGGCCCATCGGAGACAGAAGCCCACAAGTCAGTTCTGAGACCTGTTTTCGAGTTCGGGTCTTCCCCGTTCTCAGCTTGATGTAGCGGGCAATCAGTTCATTCCGACCTGAGGATTCAAAGAAGGAAAAGAGTTAGACCTTCAGCAGAACTTCCCCACAGCAAGGACACCAGAGAAGAAGAGAGTAGCAAGGGTCCCCAAAGGTCTACAGTAACTGGCTGTGGGTCCCCTCAGCTACATGGAAACTGTAATGCTTGGGTTCAAATCCCAGCTCCATTACGCACTAGCTCTGTGTGACCATAAGCAAATCACTTAACCTATCTGCGCCTCAGTTTCCTCATCTGTGCAATGGTGATGCTAGCTCCTACTTCAGAGTCATTGTGAGGCTGTAATAAATGTTCCCATGAGCAGCTGTTAAAGCTCCATAAGCACTGGTTACTGTCATTATTCATGGGGGGTGGGGGGCGAGGCAAAAGACAGGAGCAGACTCACCATACATCTTGCCTTCATCGGACAAAATAATTTTCCGGCGGCCGCAGGGTGGGTAGATGGCCAGGGCTTCCTGGAAGCTCTGCTCAATGTCTGGACTCCACACCCCCTCTGCATCCGGGCCCCCATCACCCCCGGCCCCCTCACTGCCGCCGGTACCCTCCTCACTGCCTTCCTCACTGCCCGTCCAGCCGCTGCCATCATCCAGGGGGGCCCCAGCCCGGGGTTCCCCCATCTGGGCCTAGAGAACACAGAACTCAGCAAGCTTCCCCCAAACACCACCCTCCAGGGACTTGAAGCTGAGAGGGCTGGGCCTCTAGACCGCTGGGTCTGCAGGAGGAGGGAGCTGGGGGTCAGGACTCCTGGGTCTGAGGGAGGAGGAGCTGAGGGGTACTCCTGGGTCTGAGGGAGGAGGGGCTGGGGGCCTGGACTCCTGGGTCTGAGGGAGGAGGGACTGGGGGCCTGGACTCCTGGGTCTGAGGGAGGAGGGGCTGGGGGCCTGGACTCCTGGGTCTGAGGGAGGAGGGGCTGGGGGCCTGGACTCCTGGGTCTGAGGGAGGAGGGACTGGGGGCCTGGACTCCTGGGTCTGAGGGAGGAGGAGCTGAGGGGTACTCCTGGGTCTGAGGGAGGAGGGGCTGGGGGCCTGGACTCCTGGGTCTGAGGGAGGAGGGACTGGGGGCCTGGACTCCTGGGTCTGAGGGAGGAGGGGCTGGGGCCTGGACTCCTGGGTCTGAGGGAGGAGGGGCTGGGGCCTGGACTCCTGGGTCTGAGGGAGGAGGGGCTGGGGGCCTGGACACCTGAATCTGAGGGAGAAGGAGCTGGATTTCTAGGAAAGCCGAGAATGGGAGTGTTTTCTGAGTTTGCAGAGGAACTTCAATTGTGATGAAGTCAACCACGTTGATTACACTAGAGTGATTACCCCAGAGGAATGCCAAGGGCCATGAGGGCTAAAGGTTAGGGTATGAATTACGGTTTTAAAAAAGACAGGAGGCAAGAGCTAGTGGCAGGGAAGGAGGGTGTGGTGAAACTTTCCCAGTCCCACCCTGAGAACAGGTGCAAGGATGTGAGCAGCAGCTGCAAGAAGAGGGGCCAAGTAAGGTTGAAAGGAGGCCTAGAGAAAGGGGGGGACAGACCCAGAGAGAGGGGGACAGAGACCCAGAGGGAGACCCAGAGAGAGGGGGACAGAAACCCAGAGAGAGGGGGACAGAGACCCAGAGGGAGAGGGAGACCCAGAGAGAGGGGGACAGAGACCCAGAGAGAGGGGGACAGAGACCCAGAGGGAGAGGGAGACCCAGAGAGAGGGGAACAGGGACCCAGAGAGAGGCGGACAGAGACCCAGAGAGAGGGGGGCAGAGACCCAGAGAGAGAGGTGTACAGAGACCCAGAGAGAAAAGGGGACAGAGACCCAGAGAGAGAGGGGGACAGAGACCAGAGTGGGGGAGAGAGAGACCCAGAGAGGGGGACAGAGACCCAGAGAGAAGGGGACAGAGACCCAGAGAGGAGATGGTGGGGGGAGAAGGGGAGAAGTGGGGGACAGAGACCCAGAGAGAGAAAGAGAAAGAGATCCAGAGAGAGGGCGACAAGAGACCCAGATAGAGGGACGGAGACCTAGAGAGGGCAGGGACAGAGACTCAGGGCAGCAGCTGAGGCCGAGACCAGGAGAGACCCACAGAACCACAGGCTGAGGGACAGGGGCGCCCTGCCATCAGGAGAGCCAGAACAAAGGGCCCAGGCGTCCCCTCCCCCAGCTTCCCACAACCCCCATCAGGGGAGGGGCCGGCCGGCCAGGGCGACTCCCCTCCGGCCCCGGGCCCCGCCCCTCTCCTCCCCTCCCCCGTGCGCCGTGGGCTCAGATACAACCCAAGTTCCCAGCGACTTTCCGGAGGCCGGGAACAGGGAAAACTTTTTCCAATACAGTCAGATCCTGCCTCCCCGGAGGCTCCATGTCCTCCACAGCTTTCCCAGGACCCCAGAGTCCAGGCCCCCATTCCTCTCCTCTCGCGGACCCTAGCAGACAAAGACCCCAGGCCAAGCCCACTGACGCTGCGGCGTTCAGGACCTCCGTAGGCCAAAATCCCAGCCCAGCCCTCCCCCATGTGGCCAGACAAAGGGACGGTGGAGCCGGGTAAGAAAGGTCCCCCTAATTTCCCGCCCCAGACCCTAAACCTCCAAAGAGGCAAGACTTAAGATCCAAAAAGCCCCGTCACCTCCCCTCCGCCACCCCAGAGGCCCTCCCTTCTCCGTAAGAAGGACCAGATGCCCCCAGGATTACACACTGGGTCCTTCTCACTCCAAAGTGACACCGCGCAGACACTCGCACGCCCCGCACCCCGCCAGCGCCCTCGGCCCACACCCGCTCCTGTGCGCACGCCCAAACTCAGATCCAGCCGCAAGCACCCTAACTCCGACCAGAGTTCCCAATCCTCACTAAGGCTCGGTCTGGGGCGCAAACTCGGGACCCCGGGCAAAAAGAGGGCTGCAAGCCGTTCGTAGAGGGTCCCGCAAACGCACGGCTCACCTCCTAACCAGCCACTCCCCACCCCCAACTCACACACCCCAAAGCAGGATCCCCGACTCCCGCCGGCGCCTTCCTACCTCCCGGCCAGGGGCTGGGGAGCCGCGGGCGGGCGGGGCGCTGTGAGGGAGAAAGTTGCCGGGAGCTTTGTTTGGGAAAAGTGGGAGGGACCGGAGGGGGGGCGGGCCCGGGCGGCGGACAGCGGGAAGGGGTATCCGACGGTGACAGTTTGGGGGAGGATTTTTGCTTTGGGAGAGAGAAGTCTGTCTTGGGGCTGGTAGGAATTCAGGATTTGGATGCTTGGGAAAGGAGCGGGGTTGGGGCTTCGGATTCCAGGTCGGAGAGAAGAGGCTGATGGGAGCCAGGAACCCCTGGTCTGAGGGAGGAGAGGCTAGGGGCTGGGACTCCTGGGTCTGGGGGAGTATGGGGCTGGAGATACGGACTCCTGAGTCTGAGAAGGGACGGGGTTGGGGTTTCTGGAATTCCGGCTACCCTCTAGTGTTTGTGTATTGGGGGGTGTGGAAGTGATACGAATATAATGAATCTTTACTGTTCAGCCCTTTTTTTTGGGGGGGGGGTCTCGGAATGGGTTTCCTATGACAACACAGTGTAATCTCAACATAGTTAAGAGTCGTGGGCAAAACCAACGGGAGTTTATTGGAGGCCTACGTAGGTGCAGATTCCTCATCCACAGGCGTTAGTGGACTAGAGGTGGCTGGAGGCTGTCCCAGAACCGGGAAGAGAGCCCTGATGCCTTGAGGGAAGACGGCTTAGGGCCCGGACCCTTACGGGTAAAGGGCTGGGTATTCAAAATTATGGGACTAGAGGGGGCTAGGGTCCGGACCTGCAGTCCTCAGGGAAAAGGGAACTCGGATTTCGGGTTCCCTGGAAGATGAAATAGACGACTGGATTTAGGGTTTCCGGAGAGAACGGGACTTTTTATTGGAACCGGAACGGGACTACCAGAAGGGACACGGAGAATAGGCTCCCGAGACAGATACAAAATTATAGTGAGAACTAAAAGGGCTGCTCGTCAGAGCATATAGAGCCTTTAAAAAAATAATAAATAAATAAATAAATAAATAAAAGGGCTTCTCGGATTCCGGCGTCTCCAGCAGGAGCCTAGGACTGGAACTCCGGGTGCTTAAGGGAAAGATCTGGAGAGCAGGGGCGTGGCCCACGTGCAGGGGCGTGGCGTTAAGCCAAGGGGCGTGGCCATCTGCGATTGGGCGGGACTCCGAGAAGAGGGCCGCAATCAGAAATCGCAGACAGGACTGGGCTCCCAGGGCTCAGGTCAACCGACAGGGGCGTGGTCTCATTGTGTGGGCGTTGCCAGGGACTGAACTCGCTGCTCTGGCTTAAGGGGTGTGGTGAACGAAGAATGGGGCGTGGCCCTGTTACCAAGGGCGAGGTCGTGATGAGGCCGAGGCTCCAGGGTGAGACCAGCAAGGTTGAGGCGTGGTCAAACAATAGGGGCGTGGCTAGGGCTTATAGAGCGCAACCAACGCTCGAGACCAGACCTGGGCTCGAGACCAGAACTGTTTGGCTTTAACAGTCCGTGGGCGGCCGGAGTCTGGGAGTCCAGTGAACGGGCTGTGGTCTAGCGCAAAGGCGGAACCCAGAAGAAGGGGCGGGGAGTGGTAGAAGGTGAGGATTGAGATCTGGTCGTGAATGTGGGCAAAAGTGAGGCAACAGACCATTGGATCTGCCAGAGCGCTGTAGCTGGGATTACGCCTGTAATCCCAGCACTCTGGGAGGCCCAGGTGGGCAGATCGCCTAAGATCAGGAGTTCGAGACCAGCCTAGGCAATGTGTTGAAACCCCGTCTTTACAAAAAATACAAAAATTACCCAGACATGATGGTGCAAGCCTGTGGTCCCAGCTACTTCGGGGGGCTGAGGTGGGAGAATCACCTGAACCCAGGGAGGTCGAGGCTGCAGTGAGTCGTGATTGTGCCACTGTACTCCAGCCTGGACGGCAGAGTCTGGATCTTAAAAAATAAAAAAATAAAAAAGAACCCAGAAGAACCGGACCTAGGAGAATAGGGGGCCTGGCAGGGTGGAGGGTGTGGGAGTAGAAGAAAGGAGCAGTGAGGGAAATAAGTGCAGTGTGGGTGGGAGCTGCCTGGACTGGGGAGGCAGCTTGGGCAAGGAGCTGGAGAGGGGCGTCTTGGGTGGGGCCATGGTCACTGTGGGGGTGGTGGGAACCGTGAGGAGGTGGGGCTCTGACCTGGACCCTTGCCACAGCCTCCCCACCTCCCCCTGCAATGCGGCACCCACTGGTCCTGCTGCTGCTCCTCTCTACCCTGGTGACCCCCTCCACTGCAGCACCTATCCACGATGCTGATGCCCAAGACAGCTCCTTTGGTCTTTCAGGCCTCCAAAGCCTGCTCCAAGGTTTTATCCGACTTTTCCTGAAAGTAAGCAATGGCGGTAGGGCGGGGGAGAAGGAGTACTAAGAAGAGGTTCAGGCACACAGACTAAGAGATGGTTCAGGGGGACAGACAGGACAAGAGTCAATGGGACAGAGAGACAGGGCAACAGGTAGACCAAGGGATGGCAAGAGGGAAGGGGCCGAGTACGGTGGCAAATTTTTGTAATCACAGCACTTGAGGAGGCCAAGGCAGGAGGATCACTTGAGCCCAGTAGTTGGAGACCAGCCTGGGCAACATAGTGAGACCCTCACCTGTACAAAAAAAAAAAAATAGTCACACATAGTAGCATGCGCCTGTAACCCCAGCTACTTGGGAGGCTGAGGTGGAAGTGTCGTTTGAGCCCAGGAGGTCGAGACTACAGTGAGCCATGATTAGGCCACTGCACTCCAGTCTGGGTGACAGACCAAGGAGACCTTGTCCCTAAATAAATAAATATATACATGCATAAATAAGAGAGAGAAGGTAACAGGCAAGGAGAGAGGGAGATGGGAAAGAGACAAGAGACTGGGGAATGGCCAGGTACGGTGGCTCACGCCTGTAATCCCAGCACTTTGGGAGGCTGAGGTGGGCAGATCACAAGATCAGGAGTTCAAGACCAGCCTGGCCAACATGATAAAACCCCATCTCTAAAAAAAAAAATAAGAATTTAAAAAATTAGCTGAGTGCAGTGGTGTGCACCTGTAATCCCAGCTGCTTGGTAGGCAAAGGCAGGAGAATCGCTTAAACCCGGGAAGCAGAGGTTGCAGTAAGCCGAGATCATACCACTGCACTCCAGCCTGGGTGACAGAGTAAGACTTTGTCTCAAAAAAAAAAAAAAAGAGAGACTGGGGAAAGAGACAGGAGGAGAGGGGGTTGGGGACAGAAAAGGGGCAGGGATAGTAAGGCAAAGGGATTGAGAATAGAGACAGAATACATGGGGGATGGAGGCCAGAGGTTAGGCCCTTAGTGTCGGAATGCAGAAAGTAAAAGGGATAGGAGGGACAAGGGGCAAGGCCTGGGGGACATCCTAGAAAGGGCTGTACTGGGGAGATGTGAGGTCCAGCAGCTCACCAGTCCCTCCTCCAGCCACAGGATGACCTGCTTCGGAGTATGGACAGCTTCTTCTCTGCCCCCATGGACTTCTGGGGCTTCCCTAAGAACTACCACCAAGAGGAGAACCAGGAGCACCAGCTGGGAAACAACACCATCTCCAGCCACCTCCAGATCGACAAGGTGCCTGCGCAGGGAGGCCCTTCCTGGAGTTCCCTTGGGATCCTTCCATCCCTCCATCCCTTGTGCTGCACTATCAGTTGGGAGGGAAGCAGGGCAGAGGAGGAAAGCAGGTTTGCTCTCACTCTCTCATCTGGTCCTCACAGGTGACAGACAACAAGACAGGAGAGGTGCTGATCTCTGAGAAGGTGGTGGCATCCATCCAGCCGGCAGAGGGGAGCCTCAAGGGTGACTGGAAGGTTAGGACATGCCCCGCCCTCAGAGTGTCCAGGCCTCAACATTTTCTTTTTTTCTTTTCTTTTTTAAAGCAGAGTCGCAGCCAGGCATGGTGGCTCACACCTGTAATCCCAGCACTTTGGGAGGCCAAGGTGGGTGGATCATGAGGTCAGGAGTTTGAGACCAGCCTGCCCAGCATGGTGAAACCCTGTTTCTACTAAAAATACAAAACGATTGGCCACGTGTGGTGGCGAGCACCTGTAGTTCCAGCTACTCGGGAGGCTGAGGCAGGAAAACTGCTTCAACCCAGGAGGTGGTTGTGGTGAGCCAAGATCGCCCCACTGCACTCTAGCCTTGGGGACAGAGTGAGACTCCGTCTTGAAAAAAATATATATCAAAAAAGTAGTCAGGTGTGGTGGCACATGCTGTGGTTCCAGCTACTCAGAAGGCTGAGGTGGGAGGATTGCTTGAGCCAAGGTGGTTGAGGCTACAGTGGGCCCAGATCATGTCCACTGCACTCTAGCCTGGGCAATAGAGAGAGATACTCTGTCTCAAAAAAAATTTCAAACCTACAGAAAATGTGTTTTGTTTTTGTTTTTGTTTTGTTTTGAGGATATACCAAGTAAAACATGTTCTTTTTATTATTATTAATTTTTTTTTTTGAGCCTCACTGTGTTGCCCAGGCTGGAGTGTAGTGGCACCATCTTTGCTCACCGCAATCTCCACCTTCCAGGTTCAAGCAATTCTGCCTTAGCCTCCTGAGTAGCTGGAACTACAGGCACCTACCACCATGCCCGGCTAATTTTTGTATTTTTGGTAGAAACCGGGTTTCACCATATTGACCAGGATGGTCTCGATCTCCTGACCTTGCGATCCACCCGCCTCAGCCTCCCAAAGTGCTGGGATTACAGGCAAGAAAAGTTTTTTTTTAAATAATACAATAAATATACCTATAGTCTCTTTTCCATAAACCAATATTTCTCGAGGTTGGCATAATTGGCACATGAGGTTGGAGAATCTGTTGTGGAGCTGCCCTGTGCACTGTAGGATATTTGGTAACATCCCTGGGCTTTACCCACGAGACAGAAGCAGCCTCCTGCCAGGCGCAATGGCTCACGCCTGTAATCCCAGCACTTTGGGAGGCTGAAGCAGGCGGATCATGAGGTCAGGAGTTTGAGACCAGCCTGGGCAACATAGTGAAACCTGTCTCTACTAAAAATACAAAAATATTAGCCGGGCATGGTGGCGCATGCCTGTAATCCCAGCTACTGGGGAGGCTGAGGCAGGAGAATTGCTTGAACCTGGGAGGCAGAGGTTGCAGTGAGCCGAGATCGTGCCATTACACTCCAGTCCAGGCAACGTACGAGACACTGTCTCAAAAAAAAAAAAAAAGAGAGAGAGAGGTAGCCTCCTCACTCCTCACTCACACTGGTTCACTGGTTGTAACACCCAAAAATCTCTCCAAACTTCAATTGAGAACCCCGGCCTAGACTGAGGCTTGTTCACATTTTATCTGTTTTTATTTTTTTATTTCTGAACCATATGACAGTAAATGGCTGACATCATGACACTTCACCCATAAATACTTCAGCAGACTGTCCAGAGACTAATATATTTTCCCACAAGACCATAGTACCATTTAATTTTCTCTTTTTTTTTTTTTTTTGAAACCAAGTCTCATGCAGGCTGGAGTGCAGTGCCCTAATCTCAGTTTACTGCAACCTCCGCCTCCCAGATTCAAGCAATTCTCCCACCTCAGCCTCCGGAGTAGCTGGGATTAAAGGTGCATACCACTGCACCCAGCTAATTTTTGTATTTTTAGTAGAGACAGGGTTTCACCATGTTGGCCAGGCTGGTCTTGAGCTCCTGACCTCAGATGATCCACCCATCTCAGCCTCCCAAAGTGCTGGGATTATAGGCATAAACCACTGCACCTGGCCTACAGTACCATTTCACACCCAATAAAATGTGGCTATCAAACTGTTTGGGGTTTTTTTGTTTTTTGAAGGCGAGTCTCACTCTGTCACCCAGACTGGAGTGCAGTGGTGTGATCTCAGCTCACTGCAACCTCCTCCTCCCAAATTCAAAAGATTCTCTGGCCTCTGCCTCCAAATACCTGGGACTACAGGCACACACCACCAAACCCAGCTAATTTTTGTATTTTTAGTAGAGTCAGGGTTTCACCATGTTGGCCAGGCTGGTCTCGAACTCCTGACCTCAAATGATCCACTGCCTCAGCCTCCCAAAGTGCTGGGATGACAGGCATGAGCCACCGCACCTGGCCTATCTAGCTGTTAGTACAGTATTACTTCACTAGGGCTGCCATAATAAAGTACCACAAAGCCGGGCGCAGTGGCTCACGCCTGTAATCCTAACACTTTGGGAGGCCGAGGTGGGTGGATCACCTGAGGTCAGGAGTTCAAGACCAGGCTGGCCATCATGGTGAAACCCCATCTTTAAAAAAAAAAAAAAAAAAAACAAAGTACCACAAACTGGGTGGCTCAAACAAAAATTGATGGTCTCACAATTCTGGAAGCTGAACATGGAAGTTCAAGGTGTCAGCAGGGGTGGTTCCTTCTGAGGCTGTGAGAGACAATCTGGTGCTTTGCTGGCCACCTGTGGTGTTCTTTGGTTATGAAAGCATCATCCTGATCTCTGCCTTTGTCTCCATCTGCTGTACTTCCATGTGCATTTGTGTCCGAATTTTCCCTTTGCATAAGAACACTAGTCAAAGGCTGGGTGCGATGGCTCACACCTGTAATCCCAGCACTTTGGAAGGCTGGGGTGGGCAGATCACCTGAGGTTAGGAGCTTAAGACCAGTCTGGCCAATGTGGTGAAACCCCATCTCTACTAAAAATGGAAAAAGTAGCTGGCATGGTGGTGTGCCCCTGTAATCCCAGCTACTCTGGAGGCTGTGGTAGGAGAATTGTCTGAACCCGGGAGGCAGAGGCTGCAGCAAACCGAGGTCGTGCCACTGCACTCCAGCCTTGGCGACAGAGCCAGACCCCATCTCAAAAAAAAAAAAATAAATCAATAACACCAGTTATGTTGGATTAGGGCCAAATCTAATGACCTCATCTTCACTTACTATCTGCAATGACCCTAGTTCCAAATAAGGCCACATTCTGAGGTCTTAGAGGTTAAGATTTCAAAATACTAATTTGGGGAGGAAACAATGTTTTTGTTTTTTGTTTTTTGTTTTTTGACTTGGTATCGCTCTGTCACCTAGGTTGGAGGGCAGTGGCATGATCTCAGCTCACTGCAGCCTCTGCCTCCCGGTTTCAAGCGATTCTCCCACCTCAGCCTCCCAAGTAGCTAGTATTACAGGCATGTGCCATCATGCCTGGCTATTTTTTGTATTTTTAGTAGAGATGGGATTTTGTCATGTTGGCCAGGATGGTCTCAAACTCCTGACCTTGTGATCTGCTCACCCTAGTCTCCCAAAGTGCTGGGATTACAGGGGTAAGCCACCGAGCCTGGTCAGAAGGAAACAATTTAACCGATAACAGTCTTCTACAGGGCTTCTCAGACCTCATCATACTAAAAGGCAGACTCTGATTCAGCAGGTCTGGGTGGGGTGGGACACATTAATTTGTATACGTCACAACAGCAGCCCACCCTTTGAACTGCAAGGACCAAGCAGACACTCTGTATCAAACTCTGTATTAAACTTCCTCCCTTGACTCAAAGCTGTCCTTGAAAGCTTTTGATCCAGGATCAATGAAGGATCACACATTGCATTTGTGGTCCTGAGTCTTCAGTAAACCCAAGAGCTTTTAGTCCCAAAGTGCTTTGTACATTTTAAACTGCTACCCTCTAAACCTCACAGAGGATTTAACCTTAAAGTGCTCTGTAATCCCAACAGGCATTATCATCCCTGAAGTGCTCTATTACCTCCCTTCTGAAAGCCCCCAAATGAATTTCCATCCCAAAGCATTCTATAAACCTCAGAGTATTTTTAATCCTTAAGTGTAAACCCAAGTGCTTTGTAAACCTCAAACAGGGCTTTTGAAACCGAAAAGCACCCTGTCATCTGCAAAGTGGGCTGAATGGGTCAGTGGGGACTGGCCATCCTGGGGTGCTGTTTGGAGTATGAAAGGGTCTCCTCGTTCTTCCTCCTCAGGTACCCAGGATGGAGGAGAAGGAGGCCCTGGCGCCCATCCGGAAGGCCATGAACAGCTTCCACACAGAACTCCATCCCCGGGTGACCTTCTGGATCATGAAGCTGCCACAGCGGCGGTCCCACCAGGATGTCCCGGAGGGTGACCACTGGCTCAGCGAGAAGCGACACCGCCTGCAGGCCATCCGCGATGGACTCCGTGAGGGGACCCGTGAGGACGTCTTAAAAGAGGGGACCCAGGGCTTCTCCCACTCCAAGCTGTTCCCCCGAAAGACCCACTTACTGTACATCTTTAGGCCCTACCGACAGCTGTAGGGGAGCACCTCCCTGTAGCCCTCATCAGACCTCACCCCAAGCACCATATGGAAATAAAAGTTCTTACGTCTAACCACACCATCTCCTTTCAGGATTTGTCCCCAACCCCCTGCCAACCAGGCCACGGCAAAGCCCCCCAGTCCCAGCTCTGGGCATGACAGGTGGCTGTGCTAGCTCTTGCCTAAGTCTCCCAGGCTTGGTTTTCTCATTCAGACATCTGTCCTCTAACCCCATCTATCCACTCAGCACCCAACCCTGTCACCTCCAGCCCTGTCCGCACTCTCAACTCTCAGCCTTTTTTTTTTTTTTTTTTTTTGAGACAGGGTCTTACTCTGTCACCCAGTCTGGAGTGTAGTGGCACAATCACAGTTCACTGCAGCATCAACCTCCCAGGCTCAGGCGATCCTCCCACCTCAGCCTCCTGAATAGCTGGGGCCACAGGTGTGCACCGCCATGCCCAGCTAAATTTTATATTATTTGAAGAGATGGGGTCTCCTTATGTTGCTCAGGCTGGTCTCAAACTCCTAGGCTCAAGCAAACCTCCCACCTTGGCCTCTCAAAGTGCTGGGATTATAGGCTTCAGCCACTGTGCCTGACCCCCAACTCTTTCACTCAGGTCCTGTCTGTCCAGTTGGCCCCTGTACTGTTACTGCCATAACAAATGGGCACAAACTTGGCCACCTAAAACAACACAATGCAAACAAACAAACAACAACAACAAAAAACACAAATGCATTATTTCCCAGATCATCCTGGTCAGAAATCCAGGATGGCTCCACCAGCCCCCACCCAAACTCTCATTGGAAGGCTCTGGGAGGAAGCTGCTTTCAAGCTCATTCACATTTTCGGCAGAATCGAGTTCCTGGGCTTGTGGGACTGAGGTCCCCGTTTTCTCAGTGACTATCTGTGGGTAACCCCCCATATAGGCACAGAGGAATAAGAGCTAAGCAGAACCCTGGCACAGTTAGGGCTTGAAGAATATCTCACTTTACAGTGTTACTACTCAGCTATTTCCTTTTATATGATCCTTTATATAATCATCTATTAGTTTATAGAAATAGGGCTTGAAGAATTCCTTTAAATAATCCTCTATATATAATCATATAATAGTTGATAGTATGAGTGCCTAAAGAATATTCCCTACATATATACCTATAATTATATCTTAGTTCATAATTGGAGGAAAGCCTAGAGTGGACACAGTACAGAGCATGAATTAAGGAACAAGAAGCTTATAATTGGAGGAATGCCTAGAGCAGACACAGTGCAGAGCATGATTTAAGGGAAAAACAGTTATACCAGGACAAGAATCCATGGCCCAGGCGGCAGCGTTCAGTATCATAAAGACACCTGCCGTATGTCAGGCTTGGGGTGAGAGCCACTCCTCCTGATAAAGGAGTTGTAGGACCTTGCTCCAGTTCTTGTGGAAGGCTGCCCTCAGACGGGCAATCCACCTTGGTGACTGTGAACTTTATCAGCTCTTGCTACTGTGCTGCTCTACTGTGCTGGGACTACAAGCACGCACCACCATGCCCAGCTAATTTTTTATTTTAGTAGAGATGGTGTTTCACCATGTTAGCCAGGATAGTCTTGATCTGCAGACCTTGCGATCCACCCACCTCAGCCTCCCAAAGTGCTGGGATTACAGGCATGAGCCACCGCACTGACGCTGTTTTTTGTTTTGTTTTGTTTTGTTTTTAAAGACGGGGTTTCACCACGTTGGTCAGGCTGGTTTTGAACTCCTGACCTCAGGTGATCCGCCTGCCTTGGCCTCCACAGTGCTTGGATTACAGGTGTGAGCCACCACGCCCGGCCTGTTTTTGTTTTTTTGAGACAGAGTCTCACTCTGTTACGCAGGCTGGAGTGCAGTGGTGCCATCTTGGCTCACTGCAGCCTCCGTCTCCGAAGTTCAAACAATTCTCTTGTCTCAGTCTCCCTAGTAGCTGGGATTACAGGCGTGTGCCACCACACCTGGCTAATTTTTGTTTCCTTTGTTTGTTTTTTGAGATGGAGTCTCGCACTGTTACTAGGCTGGAGTGTAGTGGTGCAACGTCAACTCACTGCAACCTCTGCCTCCTGGGTTCAAGTGATTCTTATGTCTCAGCTCCCAAGTAGCTGGGACTATAGGCACAAGCCACCATGCCCAGTTAATCTTTTGTATTTTTAATAGAGATGGGGTTTCACCATGTGGGGCAGGCTGGACTTGAGCTCCTGACCTTAAGTGATCCACTGGCCTCAGCCTCCCAAAGTGCTGGGATTACAGGTGTGAGCCACTGTGCCTGGCCTCCATGCTCTTTTAAACAACCAGATCTGCATGAACTCAGAGCAAGAACTTGTTCATCACCAAGGGGATGGTGCTAGGCTGCTCATGAGGGAGCTACCCCATGATCCAAATTATCTCCCATCCAACTGGGGATTACTTTTTTTTTTGAGATGGAGTTTCACTCTTGTTGCCCAGGTTGGAGTACAGTAGCACAATCTCAGCTCACTGCAACCTCTACTACTTGGGTTCAAGTGATTCTCCTACCTCAGGATCCCAGCTGCCACACCCACCTAATTTTTGTATTTTTACAATAGATAGGGTTTCACTGTGTTGGCCAAGATGATCTCAAACTCCTGTCCTCCAGTGATCTGCCTGCCTCGGCCTCCCAAAGTGCTGGAATTACAAGTGTGAGCCACTGTGCCTGGCCAGAGATTACACTTCAACAGGATATTTGGAGGGGACAAACATTCAAATTATTTCAATTGGTCATTTCAAAGTTACTTTACTTATGGTCAGGTGTGGTGGCTCACACCTGTACCCCAGCATTTTGGGAGGCCAAGGTGGGTGAATCACCGGAGGTCAGGAGTTTGAGACTAGCCTGACCAACACGGCAAAACCGCGTCTCTACTAACAAATAAAAAAAAAATTAGCCAGGCATGGCAGCAGCCACCTGTAATCGCAGCTACTGGGAAGGCTGAGGAAGAAGAATCGTTTGAACCTGGGAGGCAGAGGTTGCAGTGAGCCAAGATCATGCCACTGCACTCCAGCGTGGGTGACAGAGTGAGACTGTCTCAAAACAAACAGTTACTTTATTTGTAAAGGTTCAAACAGAGGGGACTTCTTTATCATGCTCGCTAGGAGATGTGGTTATTATCTCTCTCCTCTCTCCCCTAATTTCTCAGAGGTCAGGTAACTTAGTTTCAGCTTGCTGACATGGAACTGCAGCATGAGTGACTCCACTGGTCTCTCAGGCCTAGTGTATAAGCTCAGTCCAAACCAACGGCTTCCTATAATTTTTTTTTTTTTTTTGAGACGGAGTCTTGCTCTGTTGCCCAGGCTGGAGTCCAGTAGCGTGATCTCTGCTCGCCACAACCTCTACCTCCTGAGTTCAAGAGATTCTCCTGCCTCAGCTTCCAAAGTAGCTGGGATTACAGGCGCCTGCCACCACGCTTGACTAATTTTTGTATTTTTAGTAGAGACAGGGTTTCACCATGCTGGCCAGGCTTGAACCCGGGAGAATCGCTTGAACCTGGGAGGCACAGGGTGTAATGAGCTGAAATTGTGCCACTGCACTCCAGCCTAGACAACAAGAGTGAAATCCATCTCAAAAAAAAAAAAAAAACCATAAGGAAGAGAAATTGCATTTACAGTACTGTACTATACTTAGGGTAACCCTAAGCTTATGTCTTCTGTTGATAAGATGAATTGTGTGTCTGAAATGGTGGGCAAGTACAGTTGCAGACTATAATCCACACTTCAAGCAAGTCAGCTTTTTCTGGTATGTCATAACTTTTCTTTGCTTCCTGGGAGCACTTCCGGCATCATTAATAGTACTTCATATGGGTTCTACAGTGTTCCTCAAGGTTTACCACATTGCACTAAACACAATGAAAAATACATGATAACCTCAACAGATCACTTTACTGCAATATATGATTTAGGAAAGAGACAAACTGCTCAGTGGAAGATGAATAGCATCACACAGCATTTTGAGCAGATATCCACAGCATTTGGGCTCACTGCGACAGCAACAGAAGGTGGCTGCAAAAGCACTGCAACAGTACAGTCACTGCAGTGAACTTGATGCAGGTGTGATTTAACACTGCATCTTTATGCCTGTTTACATTTCTGTCAGCTTCTAAAGGTGCCAGGTATAGTCTGTGTGTATGTGCATAGTTTTGAGAAATATGCTTTTGATAAATAAAAAACAGGCCAGGCACAGTGCCTTGCTTGAGACGGAGCCTCACTCTCTTGCCCAGGCTGGAGTGCAATGGCGCAATCTCAGCTCACTGCAATATCTGCCTCCTAGGTTCAAGCAATTCTCCTGCCTCAGCCTCCTGAGTAGCTGGGATTATAGGCACCCACCACGATGCCCGGCTTATTATTCTATTTTTAGTAGAGACCGGGTTTCACCATGTTGGCCAGGCTGGTCTCAAACTACTGACTTCAGGTGATCCTCCCACCTTGGCCTCCCAAAGTGCTGGGATTACAGGTGTGAGCCACTGCACCCAGCCAGATAAATTAACTTTCTATAATAGATTTGTGTATGTTTTATGATAGAAATGATAAAATAGACTACTATCTACATAGATTTTATACACTCATGACATGCCGTGTTTTTTGTTTTTTGTTTTTTGTTTTTGAGATGGAGTTTTGCTCTTGTTACCCAGGCTGGAGTGCAATGGCGTGATCTCGGCTCACCGCAACCTCCACCTCCTGGGTTCAAGCAATTCTCCTGCCTCAGCCTCCCGAGTAGCTGGGACTGCAGGCGTGTGCCACCATGCCCAGCTAATTTTTTTTTTTGTATTTTTAGTAGAGACGGGGTTTCACCATGTTGACCAGAATGGTCTCAATCTCTTGACCTCATGATCCACCCGCCTCGGCCTCCCAAAGTGCTGGGATTACAGGCGTGAGCCACCGCGCCTGGCAACATGCCATTTTGATTTTTATTTTTTAATATTTCTGGGCTATGCAGTTCAACTATGAGGTTTTTTTTTTCAAATGGTTGGAAATCTCAAAAAAATGTTTCAATATTTATTTATTTATTTATTTATTTATTTATTTATTTATTTAAGACAAGGTCTCATTCT